ATTATAATGTATTATCTTTCATATCATTTTCATTCTCCCCATCATTCTATCTTTTCTTCCGCTCTTTCATTATGTTATATTTTTTTTTTTTTTTAAATCATTTCCATTGACATCATTTTAAATAATGAATTAAAAAATAATCCATCATGTAAAATATCTAAAAGCAATTTTTTCTTTTTCATTTTGTAGTTTATATTTATTTGATCAAAAAAATAAGTAAAAATTTTATTGGATTTTATAAAATTGCTTGAAAAAAGATGGTTTAACATATTGATATGTTTGAATGTGTCAATACAAAACTCTTTTTAAAGAAATGATTTTTATAATATGAAATCACCGAAACTTTTTAAAATATTATACATTTATTTGCTAATATTTTTAATTATATATTATAACAACAATAATAACGATAATAATAATTAATAATAATGTAATAATAGCAATAATAATAATAACAGTAACAATAAATAATGGCAGTAATGTAACAATAATGATAATAATAATGACGATGAATAATAATTAATAATAGTAACAATAATAATAATGGTAATAATGTAATAAAAAAAAATAATAATACTAATAATAATAACAACAATAATAATAATAACAATAATAATGATAATGATGGTACTATCATAGTAATGCTAAATAAAAAAATAATTGTACAAAATCGGAATATTCTCATTCTCAAAATTCTCATTCTCGAAATATTCTCAAAATCGAAATATACAGTTTATTGCAATTTCATTCTTCTTAGTTTATTAATTGCATGAATTTATAACAACACTCATTTATTAGTGAATGCTAAAAATTTTCATATCAAATGAACCATACTTTTTTAATCATTAGGAATAGCTTTGATTTGAGAATGAAGGAAAAAGGAAAAAAATTGAAAAGTTATTTCGGATATACATCTTTCTCATTTCTTTTTTATAAATGATAGCACCAAAAAAAAAAAAATATATTCATGGATTTTTGCTAAGAATTTTTTCAATCAAAATTCTTTCAATACGTTCATTTCATTAGGATACTTCAAGCAAACAAAAAAAAAAAAAGGCAAAAAGTAAGCTGAAAACGATGGATACCTCAATGGAATCATTTCACATTTTTATTTCAATGATGTAATATAAGTGGAACAGAAAGGAAAAGGAGAAAAACAAAAAAAAAATTAAAGAAAAAAAAAATTAGAAAGATGAAATAGCGATAGATTCAAATGAGAATGTGATAAAAAGATATGAAATTCTGAAAAGAAAAAAGTTTAATAATTTATTACTAAAGACTAAAAAGTTCCATTAACTTCTGCTATATTTAGCTTGAAACTGTAAAAAGAAAAGGAAAAGAATTAAAAAATACAGGAAATTTTTATGATAATAAAGAAATGCACAAAAAAATTATGAAAGAGAGGGAGAGAGAGAGAGGGAGAAAGAAAGAAAGAAGGAAAGAAAGAAAATAAAGGTATGGTAAAAAGAAAAAAAATTAAAGTAAAATAAAGTAAAAGTAGCAAAAAGTATTTCTTTATCTTTTCTTTTCTTTTTGAGTATAACTTATTTATTATTAATAGAATGATAGAATATTCATTATAATAGCTAATTGATAACATTGTTTGTACAAATTGTTAAGTATTACTTTATGCATACCTATCATTTTGTTCATTTCTCGTAATTTCACAGAAGTTATACGTAATATATCATTGTTACTTCGTAAAATATATATTATAATTAATTAATGATTTTACTACTAAATACAATGAGAATACAATTAACTGATACAAATGTTTAATAAAATTTTTGTTTATAAGTTAAATTATTATGTGCAAAAAAAAAGTTTAATTTGAATGAAATAATGTGATAATTTTTTATATGTCACCATTAAAAAATAATGAATGATAGATTAATGATATATAATGCACTGAGAAAATTTATCCTAATATTTTTATTGTCAATAAAATTTAAAAAAGCATTTAAAAGACAATTATTAAAAAAAAAAAAAAAAATTTCAAAGAATTTAACAAAGGAAATAAATATTTTTAAATAGCATTAAAGGGAATAAAACTTTCATTTCCATAAACAATTTATCAATTAATAAGAATTTGGCTATTATAATTTTAATTTTTTATCAATAGATGAATTATTATTCAGTTTTTATGATAAAAAAAAACCATAAAACTTTCAAAAAATTAAATTTTAGAACTTATAGAATACAATTTTAATTAAAATATTGATAAATACTTATTGTAAAAATATTATTTAATGCAAAATAACAGTTTTTAACAAATCATTAAAAATAGAAAAAATGATGAGTTGTTTTTTATCTTTTGATAAAATAAAATTACTGATAAAAGAATTAAATAGGTAAGTCATTTCTTGTTCAAATTTTTTCTCTTCATATTTTTCTTTTTATTTATTTGAAAACATCCAAAGCACAAATTAGCTATAACAGCTATAATTCTAAAATTTGATTTTATATTGCTAACAATAAAATAAATAAGTTATTGGTTTTAGAAAAAAAAAGAAAGAAAATGAAATATTTCTTTTTTTTTTTCCTTTCTTTCTCACTTACATAGCAAAAGATGCATAATAAAATGTGCGAAAGAAATTGATAGCAAAAATGAATAGATGAAATCATCACAAATAAGTGGAAAAAATTTAAAAAAAAAAACTCTTGAGAGAGAGAGAGAGAGGGAAAGGGAAAAAAAGAAAGGGAAAATGATATCTTTGATTATATTGCATTTACTTTTCATTTTGCGCATTCTTAATAAGAAGCGCATCATCATATTCCATCTAATCATTATAATCCAGTAATGCTTAGAAACAAAATTTTAGAAAAAAAAAAATTCAACAAAAATGATAAATGTATGTGAATAGTTGTGAGCTTTAAATTATAATTAATTAAAAAACAAATATAGTATTTTTCACTTTTGCTCTTATGTTTATCTTAGAAGTTTAATATTTAGCTATTGATACTAAAAAAAAAATTAATTTTTTAAAATGATTTTTACAATGTAAATGAAGATGAAAAAAGTTTGACTGAAATAAACAAAACAAAATATGAAAAATATGAAGTTTTAAGAGAAAAGAAAAGATGAAAAGTCGTATTCTAAACTGTTAATGTGTTGAAAAGAAATGAAAAAAGAAAATTTTACATTTTTTTTTCAAAAAAAAAAAAGTTTTATTACTTCATTCATTCTCATTCACTCTCTATCACTTTATTACATTTAATACTTACATTTTATCATGTTTATACTTCGATGAATCAATTAGTTTTTAATTTCGAAAATGTTAAAATGAAACTAATGGGAATTATTAGACCAGATTTGTGCTAAACATATACTTTTACATTCATCATATAAAGAATTTTTTTTTTTTTACTTTGCTAATAATATCATTATTGTATTGTTTTCTATTATATTCTTTTTCTCATTTATTAGTTTAAATTTCATAAATATATTTTTTTTTTTAACTGATAGAAAATAATGACATATTTTTTTAATTATTTTTAATCTAGATCATTTCAAAATTTTATTATGCATATGAATCATACAATACCTCAATTTATCACTTCCAATAAAAAACTTTTAATTGATAGAAAAATACTGATTACAAATGATGTTTCATCATTTTTTCTAAGTAGTTAATAAAATTGAAATAAAATTAAGCAAATAAAGCAACGTTTGAAATTATCAAAATTATCAAATAAATACATTTAAAATTTTTTTTGCTATATTTTGATTAATGGATATCATTAATACATTTAAAATTTTGTTCCAAATTAATATATGAATTAATATTTTTACAAGAAAAATAATCTCACTATTCTTTAAAAATTTGAATACCTCAAACGAATTTATAAATATATTTACTCATTTCATTCACCTATTTAAAAAAAAAAAGTGTTGAAAACAACATAGTACTAATAATGTTTTTGTGTTAAAATGAAAAAAAAAAAAAAAAAAAAAGTAAACAATTATGATAAATGATCAGCAAAATAACTAAGGAACTGCAATACTCTCAACTTATTTTTGCTTTTTCTTCACTTTCCCTTTTTCTAATTATCTATAATTATTATAAACCCAATTATCTAATTATTACAAAATGATAATTGATACTAATGGATTGACCTTTATTAAAATAATTGAAATTTCAATTAGAATATTTTTCGATAATAGTATTTGCATGTACAGATTTAAAAAAAAAAAACGCATAATTACATATTTAAAAATTTAACAAAAAAAAAAGAAAAAACTATGAGGTATATTAGCAATTGATTGACATTTCATAGTAACTATGAAATGTCAATCAATAGTTCTTTTGAATTTTTTTCAACATAAATAGTAAAGAAAAGAAAAAATGAATAAGTGAATAAATAAATAGCTTAAGTAATTAATTATTTACTCAGCGCAATTATCTATTTTAAGTGATATTTTCGTTATTTAAAAAGAAATAAAAAACCAAAAAATCTGGCTAATTTTAAGATTAGTTTGCTGAGAAGAACTTGGATTTAAACTTTTTGATCGGCAAATAATGATAGCATTTATTTTTGATGAACAGTATATAAATTTGCTAATTTTGTCTCAATTGCTGATTATTTGTTGTTTTTCCTTATTTGTTTTTATAATTTACGAGAATTGATTTACATTGTCTAAAGTTTAAGCTAACAATAAGATTTAAATTTTAAACATTTTAAATGTTACATGTATAACAATTTAATTCATCTGGAAAGCGTTGCATTGAAGGGCCATGTTAAATTGAAGTACACCTCATTGATAAGTGAAACTTTGATTTCGTATTCCAAATGAGATTATATGCTATTGTTAGTTATTATTGTTGTTTGCATTTTTACGAAATAGTAAAGTAAGTTCTAGTGAAATATTTTAAAATTAAACTATTTTGTTTTCTGAATTAAAGTTGTTTTTTTTTTATTATTTTAAACAATTTATTTGTCAATTTCAGAATACGATAGTGTGTTATACACCATAAGTGTTATATTAATTGACTGATAATATGGGCTTTCGCCCAACATTTCGACATCACAACGACAAGCAAGCAGATTACAGTGTTGGAGATGAATGTCTTTCTCGATTACCATATGCTTCTATTATTGCAACTTCTATGTGCGGTATTGGTGTAATCCTTTTTACATTGGTGATGACATGGGCATTCAATGCATCTGTTGAGCAAGCTCGTCGGTTATTGAATGTGGAGAATTTACCTTGGCTTGCAAAAGTAATGTTATTAAATCATGACTTATATTAATTAATTTGAAAAAATAAAGTTCAAATCCCTTAAATAGTGAATTAAAGTTATTGTCTTAAATAGTTAAGGTACATTCTTTATGTTAAATAATTTAAGAATATCTCTTTTACATTTCTAAGTTTTTTGTATTGTCTTACATTTAGAAGAATGTTAGCATTTAAATTTGATATATTCATCATTTCCTTTAACCTGTATTTTACTGTCAAATTTAAAAGTAATCTAAGAGCCGTAGGATATGGATACCATTATGAAATGAAGATTTTGTTCTCCATTTTTTTTTTTTTCTTGAATCGAATATTTTTTAGCTTTTAGTTTTTTAGCATGTAACTGTTAGCTATTGTGGAAATATTCATTGCAAATCTCAATATGTTTATATTTCATTCTTTTTTTTATTTGTAGATGCAAGTGTTATTTATTTGTGTTGCGGTGTTAATGGCAATAGCAGCTTTAATTCTACTTGTCATTGCTGCTATGAGCACGGGTTCCACAAGAAAAGAGCTTTATAGGTGTACATTTCATGCATTTTTTAATTTCTCTTTATAGATTTACTTCTCTTACTAATTATTCACAGAATGAAGCCCTTACATTGTACATTATTAGGACATTTATTTAGCATTTTATTAGTTAATTTTATAAGCGTAAAAACGTAAAAGTTTAATAAGTAAGTTTAACAGTAATAGGCTGGCATATATCCTATTTCATGGATTAACCACAGTTGAGTGTTACAGTTTGCAAGATTGGAATTTTCCTTGCATTGAAAAATTACATTGGTTGTTATTGATAGTGAATAGACAACTACTTCATTTTTTTTATAATCTTTTCAAGTATGCAACTTTTATGACAATGTGATTTTTGTGCTGTTCTGCGGAATGTGAGTTATATCAGTCTCAAGTGATAATACTTAAAAGTATTGTTGCTACAACAAGTAAGCTGAGGAAAGATACCTTGAGTTAATCAACAGGTTGTGGTCGGATGATGAGACACTTACAGCCTGCATGATGATCAGCGGAGTTAGCTGGGGTGATTCATTCTGAGTTTGTTTCGCGAGATTATTGTGCAGTTATATATAATGAAATAAACATTAGAAAGGCACGACATATGATGAGGAGACATGTAGAATCAATTACTAGAGAGTGATAATTAATAAACTTAAATAGTTGTTTTTAGGGGGAAACGTGGTCGTATGGGAGGAAAATTGGCAAATGCATTTTCATTGATAACTGCATATTTGTTAAATATGTGCTGGTTTGTTTGTTTTGCAATTGTGGTTGTTCTTTGTTTTGTATATTATATATTTACCTTTCTATGTTCATCAATATCATTCAACGGTTCCGATTGTCTTGACTTCTCACTATTTCAACCGTTTACTCAGCAAATTTCTACAAATGTAAGTTTTTTTTTTTTTCTTTTTTTAATTTTCTAAGGAAAAATAGTTACGAACGAACCATTTGAAAATATCTTAGATTAGAAAGAACATGAGAAGACATATATTCCAGTACTGTTAATGTTATTTATTAAATTAAGCTTTCAGTAGACCTGTCCTAATAACAACGAAAATAAACAAAATATAGCAGAAGGCAAACAGATCGGATGAATATAGTGCAGGACAAAAATCCTAATTACGCTTAGGCTGAAATGCTAATTTTCTTACTTTTCAAAAAAATCCTTAAGTTCGTTTTTGATTTTGAGGTCACATTTCTTGTGGCAATATTTAGTTCTGTTCTTTTTTTAGTCATTGAAGCTTTGTGGCGGCGATGTGCAGCAGTTCTGTGCTCTTTCATGGAGTGCATTTGCCTGGTATTTGGTTAGTTTAATTTCATGTTTAATAGTAATCAAAGGATTGGAACATTTTATGATGTGCAGCGCAGCAAACTATGCTCATATCAGCAGTGGACTGAAATATCTCGAGTTGAGAGAGGTAAATTTTCAATAGATTTACTATTACTACAGATTTTTTTTTTAAAGTAGTAGGTGATTTCACGGAAATATTTTTTGCTTTGGATGGTGAGAGCGTCAGTGTAAGAGGAAAACGCGGGTATGGGTTATGTTAGACTTAGAATGTAAATGAAATTTTGGTCTTATTCATTCAAACCAAATATTCATGTGGATAATAGTTTATGTTAATCTTATTATTTCTATGCATTTTTTTTACTGTTTTAAAGAAGTCTAAGGGAACAAAGTATGCTGCAAACATACTAATGACCCAGTAGTCAGTAGTTGTTTCTGTTGTATTTCATCGTATTTTATGTTACTTAAAATGGTTAAATGTTTCAATAAAATATGCCAATGTTTAATTTTTTAGTTATTGCTCTCGGGTGATGGTGATACAGTTAAAGCTGATTTACGAACAACAGATTACTGAATGCAACGAAGAGTTAGGAATATTTTGTCATGAGATTGTGGACCTCTCAAATCTTACCTAGCCTAAAAATTTATGTACCTTATTTTCATCGTCTACAATATGCAATCGTATTATGATGAATCGGTAACAGTGAGCTACGTTATATGTTTTCATTTCGTCTGATTTGAAGGAATTTCTTTTGCTAAGGGTGTATTTGCCTGATTTGACCCTCGTATAATTCTTTTTGTCCAAAAAAAAAAAAAAGAGGTAGTAATAGGCTATGAAAGATTTTCTCTTCTATTCCGAGATTTTATCACTTCTTTCATTTGTTAATCTCAGTGTCGATTTCCCAGTCAATCTTTCCGCTTTCTACTTGAATGTTTTTTAATAACTTTTAAAGTTTTAGATGCCCTCTATTTTGGTGCATGTTTTATAGGCAATCATACTTATTATTCTTCACTTTGATATTCACTTCTTGCATGTACAGATGTTACCTGTCATCATTTCGAGGATAAAATAAAAATCTTTCCATTTGTACGTTTTGAAGCAGTTTTTTTGCTCATTTTGTTATCTTTTTTCATATGTAAAAAGTTGAGAGATGGATGTAGTAGAAGCTGATAGATCTAAGGAAAAATTCTAAGGTACACTAAATGTAAGAAGCACACCGCTTTGCTTGTTTCTTTTTTTTTTTTATTGATTTAGCTTATGCATGTTGGAAGCGGACAGTGTTGAACCACCGAAGGAAACTATTACAAACGAACTTTCGATCTTGTCAAACAATATTACGAATTGTCTTTCAGCGGTTTCATTAAAGGTTTGTATCTGATTTTCAGTACTTTTAGGAAGTTTTATTTATTAAATTCTTTCAGCTCTTTGTATATAAAATAATGAATCGTTTCAGCTTGGCTGTAACACAGAGACGGTAAGTTGTGTTGAAGAGTGCGTTATTGCCGCTGAAGAGTTGTACACATTGGGCGGATTGGTGAAAACAGATATAAAGGCCGTTAACGACAGTGTGATAGCGATCAACGAACAGATTGAACAACTTGAAAGCTTATTCCAAAATATTGATCGTTTAGAAGAATTCGTTAAACAGGTGATTTTCTCAAGATTTCAGAATTAAAGCAATATGGCAAATCATAGAATGATTATCATTAGATATAAAAAATGTAGAAATATCAATCGATGGTCATGTTTCCTACATGCAACGAGATAATAAAGAAAAAAAAAATCACTTAAAATATACTCCGTTTCCTACTTGGATAAAATAGTCATTATGCATGTGCAAACCCAGTCATACAACTTACCGCACCAAATACATTTATCGCTGTATTTTTTCATAATTTACTTCATAATTTACCAGTTCAACTTCAGAAAAAAGAACAACTAACAATTTTGGAAGACGAATTAACCAGAGCAGAAAGATCCCAAAGAAATAAGAGAAAATGGAAACAAGAAGTAGGGAAGGCTTAAAGGGAACTTCAAAGGAAGGAGGTTTGTCTTTCATTCCTGTAAGCATATTGCATTGCTTCATATCCTACCTCTCTATTCTTTCTTATGACTTTCTAAAATTAATCTCTTAGGATTACCTGATTTTATCGAAGTCAGAGAAGAGAGTGAAGATGATAGTCCGATAGAAGCCTCGTCAAAGGTACAATGTCAGATGCCTGTAGCAGGAAATACTTCAAAGGTATATTGTGTTTATTTTTGATCACTTCTATGAGATGAAAAAGTATCTAAACTAGGATGTGGAAGTCTTTGAACAGCGCATTTGTATATTCTTTCATGTATGTTTTTCTTGAAATAAAAGGAAACATCTGCAGGGCAAAAAGGTGAGGAAGATGAGACGTCGGAAGAAGTATAAGGTGGTCAAACTGAATGAGAACGTATATAAGTCGGAAACTAAGTAAGATAATCATTTATTTTGTGAAATATATTATAATTCAGAGCTGAAATATGCTTCTTCGATAAGAGAACATTCTGTCAAGGCAACAAACACGTTAAACAAAACCATATTATATTTTCACATAATAGAATTTCTAGAACTTCTACATTCAAAGTTGTTCCGTTGTCAATGCCGCCACCACAGCCATCATTCAATTTCCGGGCTAGACTGCTTCAAAGCAGAACGAAAAATCAAAGGCTGACAAGTAAATTATGCTCTAATTTTCTAACATTTCATTAAGAGAAGGCTTCGTTTTCAAGCTTTTGACCTCTGCGGCAACAAATCAACGCATCTTGAATTTTCTCACCCTTATCACACATGCATCTGTTCCTTATTCTTCCTCACTGCATTTTCAATTAAATTTAAAATTCTTAGAAGTCTTAAGATGCAGTTTAACACGTTTCATTTCAGAAATGGAGCAAGCTGGTTTGCAACACAAAAACAAGTGGTTTGCAGCAACAAGACCAGCACGTCGTTGAACTTTACATTATGTTTAGTACTTAATTTGGTTATAATGAAATATAAAATTCATGTGAAAATCAATCATATGAGAATTAATGATCCCATGCAAAAGAAAAGTTATACAGAATAGAATAAGAATCGAGAAATAGATACATTAACGGACTGATTTCAACGGTTAATTAATACAATATTTTATCGGCGATCACGGCTTCGACGTCTGAAATTTAATTTCTTTTTGGGATGCAACTCGTTATTTTTATTATCTTAAAAGCAGGACATTTTGTAAGAATTTAAGCTTCCAGCATTTAAACTTGAGACCCAAATCTCAGCATCTATTTAGGAAGCAGCTGACAGAGGTGCTTCATATGACCAAATCACTGCATCAAACATGCATCAAAACGCATGCACAGTAACTAGCTATTCTATCTCAGTTTACAGTGCATCTCTTTTTTAATAACTATTAGAACCTAACGGCCGATAAGTTTAACCTTTTGCCAAGCAAAGATCTCCGACAATCATTCGATTCGCAAAGAAAAATGATTTTAATAGAAAGTTTCTGAAGCAAAAAAAAAAAAATGCCTTCTTTTATAAGCAATGCAGATAATCAATCTGAGCAAATACATCTTGCTAAAGACTTGTAGAAATACCTTTCGCGGTCGTTTCGTCGTGAATCCCGGTCTCGATCACGAGTAGAGCGAGGAGAACGAGATTTACGTCGTGCCGAGCGACTGCAAGATTTGATTTAAACGTGGAATATGCAACAGTCATATTTCACATTTCTCCCGAAAACTTAACTTACCAAAACATTTGGTTCATTTCCCTCCATCCTTCTGTTCACATACTCCATCCCCTACGATGTACCATCAGCACGTCGTTACTAAGTGAACTCTTAAAACCTTATAAAACCGTCAGCATAAAATGTGGAAGTCCAAAAATTTTTAACTAAAAAATGGAAAAACTAAACCTGCGTCTTCGTTCACGAACCCTGTCACGCAAGCGATCTCCATTACGATCACGGTCTCGGTCTCTCTCTCTGTCCCTTTCTCGGTCGCGAGAATCATAATCACGTTCTCGAGTACGATAATCACGATCTCTCCTGTCGCGATCACTGAATAATTGTATTTCATTATATTCTGAATAACTAGAGTATATGGAAGTATTCAAAAACAAAAACCCACTTTCTATCATCTCTTGGACTTCCCAGACCAAGTCGAACTTTCTTCCATTCAGCACGTCTTCCTTCAACTGTTTTCTACAAAAATGAATTCTAAATAACAGCATAAAAAGATGGTGAGCTATCTTGAAAGAAGTATAATGCAAAATAATGATACTGGAGCATGAATTACGCATTTGTCTTTATCACTTACGAGAGCACAGATGCGTCCACCACTTGATACTTTCTCCCTGTGTTCAACTTTAACGCACCTATCACTCCACACTTAAGCGGAATTCCAAAAACAAAGATATAACCTTCATTTCGCTGTACTGTTCGCGAATAGTTTCCATACCGCAGTGCATTTTACCACCATAGTGATCAGCTAAACGTGTTTCATGTTCCATCAAACTAAGTTGTGCGCCACACATATCACATACACGAAGTCTTACTTGTGGTGTATTCAATACAGTTCGCACGTCATTCTCAAAGTGGAAATATATTAGAAGAGAAAATGAATCATTACAGGCATGTATACATACGGCTTCGAGCAACTCTACATCAACAAGTCTGGTAGTGCTTTATTGAGTTAGTTAAAAGTTCTAAAAAGATATATATTGCCTCAATATCATTCAGCCATTTAACTGTTGCTTCATATCACTGTGAAACAAAAATGATACATTTGGGTAATGCACAAAAAAAGAATAATTTGAATTTATAGGAATGAGTACCAAATTTACCATAAGTTGAAGAAAAAAAAAAAAAAAAACAGCAACATAAATGAACTTTACTTCAAGATCTCGCTTCTTCCTTTTATATTCTTCGATGGTTTTCGACAATTCCATCGCTTCCTCTACCTTACCCTCATTTCCTAATGCCTCCATTTTCACAATTGTCGTTCCAATTTTTTCACCTAATTCTCCAATCATCTGTGTCTGTAATGAAAACTTCAGTAATTAAAATGAAAAAATTTTTGAAATTCATGCAAACTTCAAAGAAGACGAAACCTTTAGGATTTCTGCTTGATCAATTTCATTTTCACAATCTTTTTTCAGTTTCTCTTTAGTCCGTTCAATTTCTTTATCAACGATACGGATTGCCTCTTCCAATCTCTCAAAGCCCTGAAATTCTCAACTTTCTTAATAATCGGCTATAATACTACGAGGCATAATAAACCTCCAACAATGAACAATTCCAAGATGTATACATGAACGAACAACAAAAAAGGGAACAGGAAAAAGCATAATGAGCAAAGAAAAAAAGGCAAAAACAGACAATCAGTAGAAGAGCTGAACCAGGATGAAGGCGCACGCTGCAGACAGATCCAATCAGCTGCAAAATTTCATTACCGGACGAAAATTTCTACACTGCTGCGCCCACAATTTGTTAATGCTTACTTTTTTGTTCTGCTACTGTTACATAATAATGGCGAACAGAACCACGATTTTTCGTTTAATGATTGAAAATTCGAGATTAAATGACGCTTCAAAATGAGACATAGATGCTGCCAGAAAGAAGTAAAAAGCTCATTTTTTCTGCAAATCTTTTTCATTCACGGTCTAAAGAAATTTCAACAACAGTGGACATACGAATTCCCATTATGTTTTTCGAACGATGATTGAAAGAGTTTCTCGGTATTTGCACGAAGGGCACTCTCCCTTTCACATGCATAAAACAACAACAATACCTAAAGTAAGAAAACTAAACAACTCGTTCCGATAATAGATTAACGACCAATACTACTGTTTGATGCGCATTCGCTGTTACCACATTTCCGATATTTTCCAAAAGTGCGACGAAAGCGCTCAATGAAACACCCTGACTACCCAATTTATCATGATCTATTTATTATATTTAAAAACTTCTGAGTACTTCAGAACTAAGAATCTCAAAATAATTACTAGAAAAAAAAACACAAACAGAAATATTCTCATGAAGATTTCTTTTTTAAAGGGGAATATTATCGTGCAGAAAAACATCACTCATTTAACACGGTCTTAAGATGTCGACCGAAAATGGTAGTAAACAAAATTGGCTGAAAATATGCCACTTGAAGATTAATGTAAAAGAAACGCAACATACATCAATATCGTAAAAATGATCTCGTTGCTTCTGAGCATTCTCGTAATCGGCTTTGTGGGCGCTTTCGTGAACCTAAAATTAGGGAAAGAAAAAATGAGATATTCGTTCTATTTGTTTAAACAATCAATCTATTTAGCTCTTTAATACTCAACTTTAGCTTCCAGTACAACTGACATATAATCTATGCAAATGAATCATAACAGATATATAGCATTTGCTTAAAATTGAACTAAAATCAAATTCTTTAATAATTTGTGCTAAACCAATCTATACTGTACATGAAAAGTCTTGATATCCTAACAAGTAACATTCCAAAAATTCATACATGTACTTAATTTACGATTTATGACAAAAAATTATACAATTTGTAACAACAATTTATGAATAAACCTTATTGCAAGCGACAAGCGATTCAAGACGAGTATCTGCCAGAATTTCATGTGGGCAGCAACCAAGAAGGAAAGCGCGACATACAGTATGATGATTGTAAGGTACCAGACGTCGACCTTCCTCTACTGCTCGATTTGTCCCCATCAACTGGTTGATCATGTCACGCATTTCAGCCGTCATTTTGCTTCCAGTTTTACTGAAATTTAACCTTGAATATACATTTTTCATTATCCATTGCTAAATAATTCTAAGTCTCATTTCATCCTTTAAAATACTGCAATCTTTGTTTTCCGGGCAAAATGGACCATCAGTGATATTACTAATCTAATCAATCCCATCTACTTTTCTCGATATGGTCACAACATAAGTATTCTTCCATTTTACACCACCTATTGCATATAATTGCATATCAATCCTCCCAATCTTAAATTTCAGATGTACAATTCCTGTACAACAAAACTAGAAATGGAATCATTAATCAGTCCGGTCAAACGCACCACCATAAAAACCGGAATCCAATCAACATAGCCACAAATCGCCCCCGCAACAGCTCATCAAGATTAACAAACTGCAAATGTATTATGTAAAACGCGTCTCTTTCATCCTCTCTATGAAAACTCATATCCTGTTGCAGTGGTGACATTAACATAATCACTTAGTCATATGACACGGAGTGTGTTGGTTGATAGATGTAGGATGAACGTCTGGGAGAAGTAATCCGTTTAAAATTACAAGCAGATTTAAAGTTAAGCTTGTATATGTGGAGTAGTGCATACAGTGGCTTTAATAGTATGATTTTATTTGGAAGTTTCGATTTGTATTGTTTCTTTTTCTAGTGTACACAATTTAGGGGTTGCATAGATTCTGTCAGAAACGCCAAAACAAATTTGTATCTTGAGAAAAAATTATAGTTCTTAGGAAAAAAAAAAACATAGAACTATTTCAATTTTATATTTCATATAAAGAAATCATCTATTTAACACTCACCTTTCAATTGTGGATAAGTTTAAAATGTTATTTGTTAACAAAAGAATATGTTGAAAGTTATCAGCTTCATTTTGCTGTCAGATCTTTCAATATGATAGCCTAATTTAGATTTGACTGTTAAAATAATTGTTAGCTTTGTTTCAATTTTTCTTTTATTTTTTTATCTTTTTTTTATTTATTTTAATTTGCAAATTCGAGATATTTTGATCTAATACTGCAGTATTATAAGTAATGTTATACAAACTCATTTTCATAATACATTAAAGATCATCCAAGAACAATTCGGTTAATCTTTAGTTATCGATCTGAACTTTATTTATGCGCTTTATTTTAGGCAAATACCCTACATCCTAGGGAGATAAAATCATTGTTTGTGCTCAATTTTTGAATATGTCAAACCATCGG